CCCCCCCTGGATTTTTTGATGCTTTTGAGAATCAGAAGACAAAATAATTTTCCCTTTCTTCAACAACATCTCTTTTAAGACATTCTTTTCACATTTCCCTGCTGCTTTTAACGGAGATTTTTGTGCGTGTGTGTATGCAGTCTCTCAAAGCAGATTTTATTTTCTATCACCAGGAAAGCAGCGATGAGGGGCTGGAGACATGACCATGCTCTTTGCTCAGTGCTTTTAAAAGCTATTGATGCGCTTTTCATGAGACCTTCTCCTTTTGGTACATGATACCCTCAGTCCAAACAGGAGGATGTTGAGTCTAAGAGATGGTGCTTGGAAGCTCGCTTAAGTGCCTATCAGAAAATGCTTAGCGTGGCACTTCAGGTGGGAGAGAGGTTTTGCTCCTACAGAGCAAAAAACACGTTACACACCAGATCAGAGCTCATCTCAGCGTTAAAGCCGGACCACTGTTAAAGAGATTGGCACGTATTAAAACCCCATCCTGCCTTCCTCCAAGCACTCTGAGCTCCTTTGACCTTTTCAATACCCGATTTTGCTTCCTCTGTCACGTCTGCTTTTGCAGATGAACTCCTTCATCCAGTCCTTCGTATCCCTTTCACTTCTGGGCAGCATTACAGCTCGCAGCTCTCCAAAGCGTTGAAACCAGGCTGCTGGGGATGCTCTCAAACCAGCATGTTAAGAGATAGACAGCAAACACGTTTCTCCTTGCAGTGTATCTCTGTCCGATCCCTGCTCCTTATGTTATTTTTAATGTATTGCAGCTAGAGAGAGATTTCTCGACTGCAGGAAACGTGTGAGTCAGAGCCGTGGCAATGAGCTGCAGAGGGACCAGTGGCCGTGACCGTCCAGCCTGGTTTGTCACCCCCAGGCCTGCCTTGCTGCTAAGGTAAACTGGTGGGAGGGAGGATGGAAGCGTGTGTTTGCGTGCCGAGATGCTCTCAGGGTTGTGGGGTCCTACTGGCAACACTTGTTTTACCTTTGGAAATCCAGGAGCTCGCTTTGACGCAATGCAGTAAAAGCAGGCAGAGGGAGACACGATAGAAACTTTAACCCAAGTTGCAGCTTCAAATAAAAGCCACGAGTCTGTCCCTGAATTTTCTCTTGCTGTTTGGGCAGACGGGGTCTGGATCAGGCTGAGATTTCATCACGGGGAAGACAAATACAAGGAGGTCCTGAATGTTTTTCTTGAGATACGCATACACACGCACTCCCCTTCCACTTAGCAAGAGGAAAATTTGTGCAGATACAATACCCAGGTTCTAGGAATTTACCTTCTAGTAACTAAGTAATTGTCAATTCATCACCTGCTGCCTTCCTCGATTAGTTAAGGGTAGTTTAATCCTGAACAGAGAAGGAAGAAAGCCCACGTGTGGGTGGGAAAAGCATCGACCCAGATGCCTGGAGAAAATTCCAGCGCCCCGCTCAGCTCCCCGGCAAGTGCAACCTATTTGTGTTTCGTAACACTTCCCAGTTTGTTTCCACCTGAAATTTAGTTCTGGGATGCTGCAAATCCCTGAATCGTAGCATCTCCACAAACCGGTACAGTAATAAAATCCTGGTTTAGGGCTCTCCAGCTCCAGAAGTCACAGGGGTCTTGATAGCCCACTTCAAATAAGACGATAAATCTTCAGAGTAACTTCCTTTAATTATTGGTTTTTTCCCTTCACGGAGTCTTTCGTACCGATTAATGAACTTCTGTGTCTGAAAGTAATTAATCCCTTCACTGGTTATGCGCAGTCTGAAGAAATAATTGGTGTGGAACAGGCAAATAACATGCTATTTATGCATCTCTGCCCTGGAATTATGCTATCTTTTGAAACTCTGTGATTGCAGATGTCGGTAGACAAAACCTCTTGGCAACATTAAATGTTAATCGGTTCTTACAGTTTTATAAATATTTAGAAATGTGTTAACCGGTTGCTTATTTCTCTTAGGATTTGATGGAAACATTTGCAGCGGGAAATAAACTAAACTCATAAATTTATTTTGTGTGTTAGAGCAGAAAAAAAAACCCAAACAATTCAGTTGTGGGTAATAACTAAAGGCTGCAATATGTTTTGGGTGGAAAAGCGGGGAGGAAATGAGGATATTTTGAAATACATGGTGCCAGTGGGTAGCCCAGGAGTTTGCTTCTCACGCAGGCCATGCAGCGAATTCCCCAAACCACTCAGGAAAATCGAGGTATCCTCGGCCAAAGTGTTGACGCAGCCTCTTTGTACAAGAAACTGCAATCCTGGCTGGACTGCCAATGTGGAGCAGCATCAAAACGACACGAATAATAATCGTCTCGAGGTCCTTGTAGCTGCACCCTACCAGAACTGAAAGGAAAGGAGAAATAACCCATTTGGGATCCCACCTGTACCTGTGTGAGCCCACGGTAACGACGTGCTCTTGAGCCTCCCACTGACATTGAACCTTAATTCACTGTTCAAGGTCACCCTTCTTCATCTCCGTGGCTGAAGATGCCCGACTTCCTATGCTGAGGGGTGGTAGCCCACTGGCTTTGCAGTTTGTGGCATTTTAGCAGATTCTAGAACTTACTTGAAAGCACGTAAACACAGTATTTTATGTTAAATACCGGTCTCTGGTTTACTTTTGGGTTTTAGTGGTGATGTTCTCTCGATAATTTTGATTAGACCCAAGAGAAAATAGCTTCAGTGCCCACAAACCATTGGGCATTTCTATATTTAAGCGTAACTTGGTGCAAACACATGCTGACAAGAGGTCGGACGAGATGATCTTCAAGGTCCTTTCCAGGCGGGTTTGTGATTCTGTGAGGTGAGTGTGACTGGGCTACTTCTTATTCACAAAGGTAGAGCTGTTTTTTTTTTTTTGTTACAGTCACACGTAACTTTCACAAATAAGCTCGCTGCAGAGAAGCTGCCATTTAATTGGCCTCCTCTGCTTTAATTAAACGTCACTCAACCAGCAAGCTGTTGAGCACAGATTTCATTATTGATACCAGCAGGAGAAACATTCATTACTTTGCTACACAAAGACATTCAGATTTATGCGGAAGGCTTATCTGCTGTGGGCTTTCTACAATTTCTCCAGTGAAGAACATGCAGAAACCCTTTCAATTAAAACCTACTTGATCCTCAATTATTGATAGGGTAGAGAACTGGAAGGCATATGCAAATCATAGATTTTGATCAGACCCAACAGATTTCAGGACAGTCCATGGACTGAACCCAGGCTTAAAAATTATTTGCACTTCTTTGCTAGTTATGGGAGGTAAAGCAGCAGCAGTGTTCTTCATTTTCCCTTTGAAATGTGATAGAAATAAACTATTAATCCCATAATAAGATTGCAGTTGGGGGCCTCCTCTTTTCCCCCTTTGTTTCATTTGTCTCCATTTATTTTCCATTTGGTGGGATTTTAGATGGCCCTTTAATTGGCTTTCTTCTTAATGAAGCCAACCTGGATGTGGCAGAAGAGACAGACCAAGGTTTAGGAGGCCTTTCTACTGGAAATTTTAAAATACATTAGTTTGGTTTTATCTGTCAGTCACACCAGGTATTACCTGAGCCCTACTCAGCCTCAGTTCAGACTCTGGCAGGGTCTCATTTCTACAGCTATTTTGAAAAATGAAAAAAATACATTAAAAAGTTAGGAATATTTTTTATATCAGTATCATCTCTTGCAGTTTCCTTTTTCCAGGAGTTCATTTGCTCTTGATTCTGGAATTTTGTGTCTAGAGGCAGATTGCACCTCTTGATCATTTGAGGCAAAGAATTGATAAGGATGTTCCCATATAATTAAAGCAGAGGGGGAAAAAAAAAAATCAAATGCTCCCCCATTTTGATGAACACATCGTGTCTTGGTTGAAATTACTTAATGATGACTGGTGACCGACTAGTGTCATAGAAGACACTGTGACCATGTGTGGTTCACAGCCAGGCGATCTTCCCAGAGAAAAAAAAAAAATCAAGGAATGATCTGGAAATTGCCACATCTTTAAGGCTCTCCTTGCACACTGAGATGAGCATGCAGGGAGGAAAATTATCCTTAGAGCAGAGTTTAACGCTTCTACACTTGGTACAAGGAACGTTGCGGAGGTAAGCGATGTCAGCAGCACAGGGCCGAGAGCCCCCTCCCCTTGCTAGGAAAAGCAGCTGCAACCCCTCCAGGCACTGGAATTCAATAGATTCCTCTTTGCTCTAGGAAGAATGGGACATGGATCTTAAGTATTTTTGCTTAGACCAGCTCAAGGATTTGTGTCACATTACAGGAAATTTGTTCAGCGTATCCCCTTCAAACTCATTTTCTAAACAAGGACACCAAGATAAAACTCAAGCAACTTCTCAAGCCATGCGACCTGTACTCCTGTTCAGGACAGAGTATGGAACTTCAGGGAAGGATCCAAGTTGGAAAAAAGAGACATCAGACAAGTCATATTTTCAGTATTGACCTTTATTGAGCAAGAACTGCTGTGACTTTTACATCAAACAACAAAAGGTTGCATACTGTGCATGTCAACTAGGTTCTCCCATGAGCAAAAGTCCACCCTAATTGCACCAGTGAGGTAAACATAATTATTTATAAGTAGCTTTTTTTTTTTTTTTTTTAAGGCTAGGAGAGTTCTGGTTCTCATGAATATTCTATTACTGTTTTCTGTTTGTTTTTGGCTCAGTTGGCTCTTTGCATAATACATCTTAAGTCGTTCCTCAGATATGTCCCTCCAACAGCTCAGGAAATTCAAAAAGCTTCCTTTGCACATTTCATCTCATGCACTATTATTAGTATTATTTTAGATCCCCAAGCTCTGTGGAGGGAGTACATCTTGAGCCTGCATGCATTCCCCCCCCCTCCCCTATATTGCACAAAAAAAGTAAAATACTGTGTGTCTGGAGCCTCCATGAGAGAACCCATTCTGCTTTGAAGCCGTCACTCACATGCATTTTGCAGCTGTCATATGGCTTAACCTTTTGCACCGACCCAAGCTCTTTAATTTTTTTTTTTTTTAGGTTTAGCTATGATTTATTTTATTCGGTCTCTTTAATCTCTTTTACTACAGCATGTGAAGTAACTTTCTCCACTTTCTTGGTGGACACTAATTTCTCCTCAAAGCTTTCTTCATGTTCCTCTACCTTCTGAGTGACTGTCACCGACTTTGTGATGTATGTGGTTGTACTGTCCCCACCTTCACTAATGATTTTCTCTGCTTTTTTGGTTACTACAATTTTCTCACCTTTATCATCAATTGGGCTCACATCTAGGCCATTGGTGACAACGCCCTTGTCTTCCTCCTCAATCTCCTTCTCTTTGGATTCCTCCTCTTCCTTTTTATCCTCCACCTCACCATTCACCGCAATGTCTTCTTTCCTCGACTCCTTCTCTATCTCTGCACTAATTTTTGTTACCTTTGTGACAGTGATGGTCTCCTCCACCACAGCCTTTTCATCTTTGACAGGGGAAGCTGGCTTCTCTGGAGAACGGGGCTTCTCCGGAGTCGCTGGCTTTTCTGGGGAGCGGGGTTTTTCAGGGGTTGCTGGCTTTTCCGGGGAGCGGGGCTTCTCCGGGGTCACAGCTTTCTCTGGGGTTGCAGCTTTCTCCGGGGTCGCAGCCTTGTCTGGAGAGGTTACCTTTGGTGTCGCTGGCTTCTCCGGAGATGCCGCTTTCTCCTCCTCCTTGGCTGGTTTCTCAACACCTTTCTCCACCTTCTGTTCTTTTCCTGCTTCTGCAGCTGGTTCTTTCTGGACGGCCTTGGCTGGCTCCGCGACAGGGGATTTAGGGGGGGATTTAGGGGGTGACTTTGCGGGAGGTGTTTTGACCTTCTCTACCTTTGCTGCTACTTCTTCAGCTTTGCCCTTGGCCTCAGCTTCTTCCACCTCTTCCTCAGCCTCCTCCCCTTCTTCCTTTTCTTCTATTTCTTCTTTTTCAGAACCTCCTTCTTCTGCTGCATCAGATTTTGCAGCTTCCTCCTCCTCTGCTTCCTCTTCCTCCTTCTCTTCTTCCTCAGGTGCAGCTGCTTGTTCTGCAGCCGCCTTCTCAGAAACAATTTCTTCCTCTACAGCTGCTTCTGCTTTTTCTTCCTCCTGTTCTTCTTGCTGGTCTTTGGCTGCCATTTCTTCTGCAATAGCTGCTAGGGCATCTTCCATTTCAGACTTTTCATCCTCTACCTTCGTCTCTTCAATGATTTCTTCTACAAACTTGTGCTGGACCTTCAGCTTCGGTGGTTCTATTTTTGTTTTCTGAATTTTAGTGGATGCTATTGTGACAGATGGTTGTCTGTGCGTGAATATGGGTCCAGTAATGCTTCCAGAGAAGGCACTGAATCTTGTCTCTTCACCCTCCAGTAGCTTCCTAAGGGAATCAGAAGGAGAAAAAAAAAGAGCATGGAAACCTAACGTAAGGGACAGCTATTAGAATATTTCCCTGTCAGCAGGATGAAACCAGTTTGTATGTGGAATATACTGGAGCTGATCAGCATAATCCATCCCTTACAGCCCCAGTTCAGCTTTCCTTGAATCAGCTCTTTTGCAAAATTCATATTCAGCAAAGAGCTTTTAGCTTGGCTTGCACGTGGCAAGTGTAACACCTTCCGCTGATGGGTGGAAATTCATCCTCAACGCCAAAAACTTCATCGTGGCCTAAGTCAGCGCAGAGTAGGGCAAAATGATTCACTTCACAGGATGCGTTGTGACCTTGGCAAAGTGAGAATCTGACACAGCCAAGAGACCCAAATCAAATATTTTGGCTGAGACATTCAAAGCCTGTGTCAATAGTCTGGGCACCCCCCTTCCTTGCACAATTATGAAAACTGTAGAGACTTTTTTGTTCAGCTGACTTTGGCAGCAAGCGCTATCTGTGTGTTTGCCTGAACAGCCTCAGGAATTGAAGCAGATCTGGTTTTGCTATTCTTATATTCAAACTCATGTTTTTCATCTAAGCCTGTGACCCAGAAAAATCAGTAGTTCTCTGATAAAGAGTTCTGAAGTGATGCAAAGGAGACTAAAAAAAAACCTGCCAGGTGATGGCAATAGCAAGCAGCGTTCCTGCTCCAGATTAGAGTGGCTGCCTTGAAAGGAAAGTTGAGCAAGAAAAGCAAAATTGTTTGTGACAAGCAGCTGAGCACTCCCCACCTGAAACCATGATCAAGCAAGTGCGCTGTCTCTCTCGAGCGATAAAAGGGAATTCAAGTGACAAGCACCGCTTGCATGGCATATACAAAGCCAACAGGAATTAAAAATAAACTCATCTTTTGCCACACCTTTTGCTTTAGTAAACAAGGGCAGAATGCGGCAGCGGGTGCCACCGCACCCAGTCGCGCTGCCCTGTGCCCATGGGGCTGGTCCCTAACGACCTCTGGGTGCTTACTCCACGGTCTGTGTAGATTTTGAGAGGGTTGTAATACTTTAGTCAGGCTCTAGTTTCCCTTGTTGGCTGCATGCGGGTGTTTCCTATCTGTGGTAAAGCTCCCCAAGCCAGCAGCATCTGCAGCGCTATTAATATTCCAGACGCATCCGCAATGATCCTACTGTACCTGTATGCAGCAATTTCGATATCCAAGGCCATCTTGACATTGAGGAGGTCCTGGTATTCCCTCAAGTGACGTGCCATTTCCCACTTCGTTCCTCTCAGCTCGTTCTCCAGCTGATGAATCGTGTCCTGCAAGAGACGCAGCAAACCCCTGTGACACAGACACACGCTTCGCGGGAAAAGTTCCCGGTCGGGACTTTCAGAAACTCTTTCCGCCACCCTATGAGGCGGTGCCAGCATCAGAGCAGGACACCCCCCCCCCCC